GAAAAAAAAAGAAGAAAGAAATGTACTGGTATGATGGCATATTTTAGAATTTCTGCTAGTCGATGGCAAATTGCAGATATTCTTCTTATCCCACTATAAATATGCCATTTTAGTTAAATGTCACTACTATTCATAATATTAGCTATGTGTCATTGGAATTTGAGGAATTGGACCGTGAATAGTAGTGGTGGTATATTTATAGTGGCATGGATCCAATTAACCCTAGTTACTATTCTATACAGAAGGAAATGACCTCACAATTTTAACAGACATTATCTCGGTAATTTTGAAGCCTGAATCCGTCCAGCAAGGTTCTGGTTACGATGATATTCTGCTTAAATTAAAATTCTTAAGCCGACTATATATCAACCCAATCTTTCAAAGGGACTTACAAGAATAGGATGTACGTGTGTGTACTTATAACAGAAGAGTAAGTACACATAAGTTATGAGCGCTTGAGTTTGTTATGTTTTTCTTAAAAGAAAAGGAGAAAAATTTTAGTATATGTCCAAAGTTCGAGAGCGAAATGGTACTCACGAACGGCATGGCTACAGAAATACGGGCCGCCTGGTGGGCCGAGCAAACCGCAGCCGTCGGATCCGGCCCAACAGCGCTAAACCCTAGCCCGCGGAGGCACCTATATAATCCGCGACCCAAGCGTGAGAGGCGAGAGAGCGAGGCACAGCTACCGGCGGCGCAGCCACACAGCAGCAGCAGGTGAGGAGGAGAGGAGACCCGCCGCCGCCGCCGCCATGGGTAAGACGCCTCCTTCCTCGCCCACGGCCACCGCCGTCTCCTCGAACGCTCCCGCTCCTCCTCCGCCTCCTACTCCCGGTCGGTCGCTGACTCGTTCGTTTCGTTCCTCTCGCAGGTATCTCGCGTGATTCCATGCACAAGCGCCGCGCCACGGGCGGCAAGCAGAAGGCATGGCGCAAGAAGCGAAAGTGAGTGCCCCAATCATTCCCCTTCTCTAGGTTTCTCGCTTGTATATCTTAGTTTTAGCGGGTGTATTTTTAGATCGAGCCCCTCTGTTACGATTTGTATGATCTGTGTGGGCGCGTGCTCGAGGGCGCAGCTTCGTTAGATTTGGATCTTGTTCGTTCAGGACTTGTGGTAGAAGGCATCAGCGTGTGTGATTTTGAACAAGGCTGAGACTTGGACGCATCGTTTTACCTAACTGTAATTTTCGCATGTTTTGTGCTTGATGGCTGGAGTAGTAACAGATAGGTCATTTTTCGAAGGAATTGCAAAATGAACTGGAGATGTTTTTTTTTGGCTTATACCATTTCAAATACCCTATTTAGAGATTCAGTGGTGGCAGTATGGAGAACATTTCCAAGTTTAGATGATTGTAGTACGCTTTGGAGTTCTTGAACCTTTTGTGCATGTTTTATTTGGCAATATCTTAGTACTGTTTTATGTAACTTTATTGGCCATATTACTTCTAAACTTGATGCTGGCTGTGATTTGAGTATGTTGCTAAACGTGCATTTGTTCTGTTGTATGTTAGTTTTAATTTGTTCTCTCACTTTGTCATGAAGGTATGAGCTCGGAAGGCAGCCTGCCAACACCAAGCTGTCAAGCAACAAGACAGTGAGGAGGGTGCGTGTCCGTGGAGGTAATGTGAAATGGAGGGCCCTCCGTTTGGATACTGGCAACTACTCATGGGGAAGTGAGGCCGTGACCCGCAAGACCCGTATCCTTGATGTGGTCTACAATGCATCCAACAATGAGCTTGTCAGGACTCAGACCCTTGTAAAGAGTGCTATTGTGCAAGTTGATGCTGCCCCCTTCAAGCAGTGGTACCTCACTCACTATGGAGTGGATATTGGTAGAAAGAAGAAGGCTCCTGCAGCCAAGAAGGATGCTGAGGTATTTTTCTCCCTTCTGTTGTACATTTTGATGTGATTGGTATAGTAGATTCTTATACACAATTATTTGTCGTCTTATAACTTAAGCTTGGTATCACTTTCGTGATTGGATGTATAGATGCATATTGAAAGATCTGGACTGTTGACTGTATTGTCCCTAGTTACAAGAATTGGACTGTACTTTGCTTATAGCTGCGTGCAGTTCTTGAATTGGTATATTTATGTTTTGGTACTGCAGTAGTATATATTGTATTCTGTTCACATGTATAAAACCAGAATGTATCTACTCTTTAGTAGCATTTTACCTGTCCTGCATAAATATGCTACCTGCAGCATGCACTTGGTAAAATCCGGTGCTTATTTATAGGATTATATGTTATGCTTAAGGTATATATTTTGCTTGACGGAAAAGTATCTTGTCTATAACCTTGCAATGCATTGCTTGCCGGTAATCCTTTATTCATGATAATAGGAATTAGCATCACCAATTTTGCATTCCTAGTTGTTGTAACTCTGGGAGCAACTCTTTTAGATTTATCAAACTGTGTTCAGACTTGTTATTCCTGTTTACAGATTGACTCCGTAGGTTGTCTTTGAGCTGTCATATCATTTGATCCTTCATTGTTGAATTTACAGGGGCAGGATGCTGAAGCTACCACAGAGGAAGCGAAGAAAAGCAACCATGTTGTCAGGAAGCTTGAGAAGCGCCAACAGGGACGCACACTTGACGCCCACATCGAAGAACAGTTTGGCAGTGGGAGGTTGCTGGCCTGCATTTCTTCCCGCCCTGGGCAGTGTGGCCGAGCAGATGGGTAAGATTCCAACACTGAATGAACATCATTGTAAATTAGGCTTTTCTCACAGTATATGTCAGCATGGAGGTGGCATGATCTCGAGTATGTCCTGGTTTGCAGGGGCTCAGATTTCTTTTTGTTGATTATAGTGCAGTCTGGAAGTTAAACAAATGCAAGAATAATAACAATGCTATCTCTAATTAAACCATTTATTTTATAATTCCTTGCAGCTATATCCTTGAGGGCAAAGAGCTGGAATTCTACATGAAGAAGCTCCAGAGGAAGAAGGGCAAGGGTGCCTCAGCTTAGAGCAAGTCTTTCTTTGTTGCTGGTTCTACACTGAAAGAACTACCCTTTTTTGTTCCCTGAGAGCTCCTATGTTATGTTTGCAGACGCATAGCTGTTTTTTTAGGATTAAACAACTTTAGCATGATGACATGAGAATGGGTTATGTACTCTGGATGTTATTAAGTTAAAATATTTACTTTCTGCCAGCTCGTTCATAATTTTGACATTATCGATCTGTCGTGATCTGCCCATTATGTTTGCGCAGAGTTGCATTTTGTTATCTACTAAAAGCCTAAAAGGATGTTTGATCGGACTAGCTACGCTTCAGGAGTGTACTCCCTCCACCCCAGAACTTGACTATCAGAATCAATAATTCTAAGACGAGCGGTCGGTTGTTTCAGAGATAGTATAGCTACTTTCCTTTATTGGAATTTAAGTTTCCAACATCTACTTTATTTAAGGGGACTTATAGAACATTTAAAAATCATTTGTTTTATTAAAAAAATTATATAATCATTATTTATTTTATTGTGAGTTGATTTATCATCAAATGTTTTTAAAGTATTATTTTTTTTATATATACGTAAAAATTTTGAATAAGATAAATGAATCAATGCCGAGTATTTTATCTTATAATGGTGATTACGGCGTTTGGTGGATCGCCAAACCACCCAACACAGTAATGTCAGGATAAAAAGGAAGGGGATATTCATGCCATTTCCTGTTCTTATTTTATGGAAATAAATTAGGAAGGGGTAGTAATGTTATTTTCTGTTTTTTCTCCCTCCTAATAAACATTTATGGATCATTGGATATATTATTTTTTATAAGTTTATCAAACTTATCAAAGTTTGACTAAACTTTTTATAATATAAAAAGAGTGGTAATTAGGTTTGCGAGGGAGAGAACACTGAGCATGGGAGGTGGGACATGCTAATTCAAACTAGATGGAGAGAGAGTGTCATGGTTACGGATAAGACATATATCCTATCCTACGACTTACGGAACATACAAGATTGGCATACCATCATTCACATGATATACATACCATCATTCACATGATATATTTCAGTATGCGATAAGGAAGTATACAAGATATTATAGAAAATATCCTCACGAGCTGGCGATTGACATAGTCCTACTCGAAGAGGATTGGATTGATTCTATATCGTGCAGGGTTCATTTTCTACGAGTTCTATTTAAAGACTAAGATAATCATGGTATAAAAGGCACACCCCCTGAGAGGTTCAGATCATCAAATCTTAGTACTAACACACCCACCATAGTTTACAAAGCCGGAGGACGTGAAGCCAAATTCGCCAGGAGATCTCGTCGAACGGTCTCGACAAGGATCTCAGCAGATTCATCTATTCTTTTGTACTCTGTGATTTTCTATATCAATCTCATGTAAACTGGATTAGGACTATTACCTCACAAGGGGCCTGAACCATTATAATCCTTGTCTTTTGTTTGTTTTGATGTCGTGTCATGTAGATACTCGTACCAACGTATCCTAATACCCTATCTATCCGGTCTCCAGGTATCCCACATCGATAGAAACGTCTATGGGTTTTCCGGCTAGCTCCATAAGGTTGTGGGTTAGACGAACTGGATTCGAAATCTTACCCCTTCTAATTAATTGATATTATGTACTTCCCTAATATTCGTGTTTTGATTCAAACTAGATGTAGACAGTGCATCGTTCACACATATGGGAGAGGCATTTTGGTCATTCTAAAAATATTCCTTTGTCCAATATGCTTAGAATGATAAGATATTTGACATGGTTTCCTATAGAAAATTACCATATATTTTTTATATTCTTATACCAAACTACGTTTGATGTGTAAATTAGACCATTTTATAGATATCTTGTAGCAAATTTTGTTCAGTACCGTATTTTTAGCAAAACTGAATTTTAATAATCCATCAAAATAAGTGCTATTTATCAATTGAATTATCGAAACTAATGAATAGTGTGACGTATTGCCGAAATTTCTCAACGTATAGGTCATGAAATTGGCAACGAAGAAAAAAAACAGAGAGAGAGAGAGAGAGAAGCTTTAGCCAAACAAAATTCTGCCGCTTCCGCTCAAACGAAATGGCGATGATAACGCTGCCAGTAGCTGCCCACGCTCCGTCGCCATGGCTTCCGCCCTCCATCCTCCGCCTCCGCTCCACCTCCACCACCACCACCATCCCCGCCGCCGCCGCAAGATCCTCCGCTCCCCACCCTCTCCCGGACGAGCTCCACCTCGTCGCCGACATCCGCTCGCCGCACAACCACATCCGCGTCGCCGACGTCTCCCGCACCGCCTCCGGAGCCGGCCACCCCCTCGCCGGCGCGCGCCTCCTCCTCCTCGACGCGCCGGGCAACATCCACTCCCTCTCCTTCCCTCGCTCCCCCTGCCCCCTCACCTCCACCTACCTCGACGTCTTCGCCACGCTCCCGCCACTCCTCCCCGCCTCCGCCTCGTCCCTCGCCGTCCTCGGCTTCGGCGCGGGCTCCGCCGCGCGCGCCGTCCTCCACTTCTTCCCGGACATCTCCGTCCACGGCTGGGAGATCGACCCCGCCGTGGTCTCCGCCTCCCGCGACTTCTTCGGCCTCGCGGAGCTCGAGGCGGAGCACGCCGCCCGCCTCTCCATCCATGTCGGGGACGCGCTCGAGGCCTCGGCCGACGCCGTGGCCGTGCCCGGCGGCTTCGGCGGCGTGCTGGTGGACCTGTTCGCCGGCGGGAGCGTGCTCCCGGAGCTCCAGGAGATGGACACGTGGAGGCGGATAGGCCGGCGGATGGTGGCGCCCGGAGGGAGGGTCATGGTGAACTGCGGCGGGCCGTGCGTGGAGGCGGAGGAGGAGGGGAGGGGCGGCGAGGCCGTCAAGGACGCAACCCTGCGCGCGCTCACGGCGGCGTTCGGGCACGGGATGGTGTCGGTGATGGATATGGACGAGAGCTGGGTGGCCATGACTGGACCGGCGGTGTCGTCGGCGCCGGAGGAGGCGGCGGCGTGGAAGGCTAAGCTGCCGCCGGAGCTACGGCGATATGTTGATATGTGGAGGCCGTGCTTGCTGTGAATTCTGAATTGAATTCTCTGAATACCGTGTGATTTCGGTAAGTGAATGCACATATATCTTCTTGTTCCAGTTACATTTTTTGAAAGTTAGTCACATAGCACATCAAAAACAGATGAAATTGTCCGGAAAACAACTGAAAAGCTAATGTTAGCAAAGCGACCCAGTGAAATCGGTGGTTCTGTATGGGTCACAGCTCAGGTGATGAATTGATCTATGTGCAAGCGCAAGACATAGAGGCATGCTTATCAGCAGGAAGTTGAATTCAGATGGCGTGAACTTGAAATGAAGGCAACACAAATTTTTAAGATCCATGTCTTAGATGATTTTGATGTGGAGGCATCAACTAAAAAGGCTTTAAAAGTCTTTGTTTTTCGTACTGTGGATAGATCAACAGGTGATAACTTGGATGTCCTTCGTGGTACTCTTCAAAACAATATTAGAGGTAAAAGAACCCTGCTTATCCTTGATTGACATCGGGGATGATGTTGAGGGAAGATTGGCAACGGTAGAATATGTTCTGGACTCCATTCACAGAAATTATCTTTAAATTACAGAACGGCAAAGCCATTGCCGCCAGGTGTGTGTAAGCTACAAGATCACACTGGCAAAGATGAGTTGTTGCTGCTGCTTACATCTTTCTATCGTGATGTGCTGCCCACACACCTATAAGGGCATGTTTGCAACACAAGGAAACAAACAACAGAAAAGAAAACGCTAGGAATATAGAAACACACCAATGTAAGCGTAAGACACAGAACTAAAAAAAGAACACAGCAATTATTAATAGGTAGAAATCATTTAAACCACTATGCCTTGTTTGTTTAGACGTGATAGACTGGGATTTGGGCCCGATCCACAGGGAACATCCCCTGTTTTCTCTCAGCCTGTGGACACGTTTGGATGAGTCAGGGGTGGAGAAAATCCTGGCCCAATCCATGCACATCCCCGTGGGAGAGAAAAATCTCCAACTAAGCGTGTTTGTTTAGTGTGCATGCTAAGAATGACTAATTTTTCTGAGGAAAGAACTTTTTTTTTCAAAAGGTGCTATCTTAATTAGTCTTGACAACTAATTGCACTACCACATTACTACATATTTATATATGTTCGCTGCTTTATGAACTGTCCAGCCGCAATTATTTGCTTTAGCACTTGTTTGATTCCTTTTTTTTGTATGTCCATTGTCCACTACTATAAGGCTACGGAAATAGTTTAGAAAATAGGTTCAGCCTTTTATTTGTCAATGAACCAACTTTTTGAATTTTGTAGAACACTATAAATTGGGAGCCTTTTTTATTTCAGTGAGTACTATTTGTAATTTATGGCTTGCTTATATGTTGACTATTAATGCATCTTTATTTTGGAAATGAGTAGTTGCAGCATTGTGTTTATGAAAAATTAGATGTTTGTTCTGTTTTTACAATTAGCCGTTGGAATATTCTGGTGGAAACTTTCAGTGATAGGTTGTCCTTGGCTTCTGATGATCATATGCTAGTTAGCTGCTAGCTTCCTTTTCTAGCTATCTTGGTGCATTCTGTAGAAGAACATTGCATAATTGCATCTTGTTCCAGTGTCTGGATAGTAGGGTTAATCTTGCTTCCCATGCTGTGTCAATTTGTGGGTCTTTGTGTGCATGTGCTCTGTGACCTTGATCAGGGCCAAGCTGCAGTTCTGAACCTACAGTTTTAAATGTTCAGTAGATTAGTTATCTTTTGATTCTAGTTCATTTTGCTTCTTGTTTAGTTTACATATATTAGCAAGCACCGTTATCTAATGTCTAAGACTTGTTTCTTTTGGCTTCGTAGTTATAGGGTGTGCATCATGCTAGAATTGTTTGGAAGATAGAATTGTGAGAGACTGCTTGAATTGTAAATGAGATGCATAAAGGACATTTTTTCTAACTGCTCCTTAATTGATGTAGCTATGATGGTTCCATGAACCAATTTTGTCTATAGAATTATTACCTTTGAGTTTTATCTGGGATTTGTACATGATGGCTAAATTTAGAATGCCAAAGAAATTTGTTTTTGCTTTGTACAATGGCAATCGGGACTTTGGAGAGTCTTATTTTCTTATCAGATAAGATATATTAAGTTGTAGGGACTTGCTTAGAATCGAGTGAAGTTCTATTCTTTCAGTTAGCTCAAAGAGCTACTAGTATTTCTGATTTGAACAAAGCTGCTTTCATCGAATTCTAGTTGAAGCATTGCAATTAATTGGCACTTCTTCCCCTATTGTCCAGTCTCAGAATTGGGGATCTGTGTTTTATTTCTTTGTGGGTAAAGAATGCTATTATCATATTCTGAAGTAATCTAGTAGCTCATTTGTCAGTGCTATGTACAAGTATAACTGTGCAAAATATTATTGAAGTGAAACATGCGGTGCATTTTCTTTATAAACTACATTTGATTTCTTTTAAACTTCATAAAGTTGAGATTCAGAAAAGGAAGTCAAAGAGGCAATTTTTCAAATGGATCATAACTCCTCCTTAGGTCCAGATGGCTTTCCTGCAGAGTTTTATCAGGTCTTTTGGGAGATTGTTAAGAATGATCTCATGGCTCTATTTAGAGAATTTCATAAAGGGACATTATCCCTTTATAACCTAAACTTTGGGATCATCGTGCTACTGCCAAAAAAGGCTGATGCAAATCAAATTCAACAATATAGGCCTATTTGCCTACTGAATGTCAGCTTTAAAATTTTTACAAAAGTTGGCACCAATAGGATTACAACGGTTGCTCACAAAGTCATTCGCCCAACCCAAACGACGTTTTTGCCAGATAGAAATATCATGGAAGGGGTGGTGATTTTGCATGAGACTGTCCATGAGTTACACACAAAGAAAATGGATGGTATCATATTCAAAATTGACTTTGAAAAGGCTTATGACAAAGTTAAATGGCAGTTCCTTCAGCAGACATTACGAATGAAAGAGTTTTCACAATCGTGGTGCAATTGGATTTCCAACTGGGTTAAAGGAGGAACTGTAAGTGTCAAAGTCAATGATAATGTAGGAAAAAATTTCCGGACATGCAAAGGCTTGAGACAAGGGAGTCCAATGTCCCCAATTCTTTTTAACATAGTGGCTGATATGTTAGCCATTCTTATTGAAAGAGCCAAAGTCGATGGCCAAATTAGAGGGGTAATTCCACACTTAGTGGATGATGGTTTGTCCATTCTCCAATATGCCGACGATACAATAATATTTCTTGAACATGATTTTGAACAAGCAAAAAACATGAAGGCCATTTTTTGTGTGTTTGAACATCTCTCGGGGCTGAAAATAAACTTTCATAAAAGTGAAATTTTCTGCTTTGGGGGAGCCAAGGAAATGGAGGACCAATATAGACAACTGTTTGGTTGTAATTCTGGTTCCTTTCCATTCAAATACTTAGGAATCCCCATACATTATCGAAAACTCAGAAATTCTGATTGGAAATGTGTGGAGGATAGGTTTCAAAGAAAACTTAGCACATGGAAGGGCAAAAACAGCTCCTATGGTGGGAGATTGGTTCTTCTTAACTCGGTTCTTTCGAGTCTTCTCATGTTCATGTTATCCTTTTTTGAAATACCTCGAGGTGTACTTCAAAGATTGGATTACTACCAATCGAGCTTTTTCTGGAGCAGTGATAGCTAGAAAAAGAAATATAGGTTAACAAAATGGGATTATATATGCCGGCCAAAAGATCAAGGTGGACTGGGTGTCCTAAATCTTGATATCATGAATAGATGTTTGTTGAGCAAATGGCTATTCAAGCTTCTTAATGGTGATGGCCTATGGCAAAACCTTTTGCGCAACAAGTACTTAAAGGGTAAACCCCTATCCCACATGTCACACAAACCAGGAACATCCCAATTTTGGGCTGGCCTAATGAAAGTAAAAGATCAATTTTTTCAGTATGGATCTTTTAATCCTGGTAATGGGATGGAAATAAGATTTTGGGAAGACACATGGTTGGGCTTGCAACCTCTCAATTATCAATATCCTTCTCTGTACAATGTGGTCCGAAAAAGACATTCTACTTTGGCAGAGGTTATGAGCACAACACCGTTGAATGTTTCATTCCGACGATCAATTGTAGGACCAAAGTTAGTTGAGTGGAACGATCTGATCTCTCGACTAGCTAACATAACCCTGTCAAATGAAAAGGATTGCTTTATTTGGTCGCTACATAAAAATGGCCATTTTTCGGTCAAATCCATGTATAATGCGATCATCAATTCCAATGTAAGAATCCACAAGAGGATCTTATGGGAGGGAAAGGTACCACTAAAAATCAAAGTATTTATGTGGTTTCTTCACAAAAAAGTAATCTTGACAAAAGATAATCTCATAAAGAGAAATTAGAGGGGAAACAAGTAATGTTGTTTTTGTAATACACAAGAGACCATCCAACATCTTTTCTTTGACTGTCATGTTGCACGTTTTGCTTGGCGATGTGTCTTCTTTGCCTTCAACATCCTCCCTCCCCACAATGCAAAAGATATTTTTGGTGACTGGCTAAGGGGAGTGCCTAGACTCACAAAAAAAATGATTTTGTTTGGAGCTAGTGCTTTATGTTGGTCAATTTGGCGTTGCCGTAATGATATAGTTTTTAACCATAAAAAAATGCCTAACATCATGCAGGTTATCTTCATGTGTTCCAATTGGCTCCACTCTTGGTGTATGATGCTTTCATAGGAACAATAGGATACTATGCACAATGGTGCTACACGCTTAGAATTAGTAGCCAGGGAACTTTTATTCCATTTTGGATGGCGTAGTACCTACAGAATTTCGTGATAGAATCTACGTGATTTTGAAAAAAAAAATATATTATTTTAGTAGATCATATCATCGGCAGAAGTTGGGGGTTTGTCCCATCTCGCCTTTTATAACTTTTCTGTTCACGTCTGAATTTTTTGGCTGTGTGCCTACGGCAGAGGCCGGAGATGTAACACATTTCCATTATCTAAAAAATAAAGTTGAGATAAAAAAAGAAAGCATTTCATGTTCAAACAGCTAAGAGGGAGAGACAATTAATCATGAATGTTCATTGCCTACTGGATGGTGGATCATGCCTAATCCCAATCGAGGGGGATTGGATGGGTGGGTGGGAGGGATTAAATTCCAATGTGCATGTTTTGAGCCCTACAGTGTTTTTCCCACCCAAATAGTATTCTAATTCCAAAGGTTGCTCTATCTTTCCTTTGAAAATCCCTTGAATCAAACTTTCATTCCTAAGTTAGTGATGGTTTCAGCGACTATTTTGCTCTCCAATATATTCACGCATCAAAATTTCTTGCTGCCAATAATGGGAACAAACTCGTGTAGCGCTCCCCTGTGGGCTGTGGCTCTACTATACCTATACTAGCGAGTTGTGACAGGTCACCTGCCTGCCTACGTTTTGCGAGGATTCTTGTGCTCATCAGTTGGCAATGTTCTCTTCGACAAGAGTAACCTTTGGAAAACGAGTTGCACGGACGCAGCCATATGCTTCTCGGACGCCGCAAGACAAAGAACAAAATGGACATCAAGTAAAAATGTAATTTGTATTACAATATTATAATAATAACAATGCACTATTTATCTTTGACATCGCGGCAACACCTCAAAGACAGTAAATAATAGTACAAGGCAAACCACCCCAGGGCCAACAATGACTTGACTAACTAGTATAAATAATTATAACAACACAGACTACCCCTAGAATCTTTTGGTAGTGTACACGGATAATTCGCCTCTGAAAAGAGAGGGATGTGCACAGCACGACAGGCTGCATCAAAGAAGCGCCTGGAGCGGCCACATTTTGCTACATATGCTACAACTCTCGCCTATTTACACAGCCGGTGATGTAAGCATGTCAGCGGTCGTATGGAAATTCATTGTCATCTTCTATCACCTTGAACGGCTCTCGGTGGCGACCGGAGCAGTACAGGTTCCACATCTTGTAGTACGCACGTTCAAGGTTGCGTACCTGAAACAGTTTAGGTAAGAAATCAAATCCAGCAACCGTAAGAACCAATCAAGATTCAGGACCTTCGTCTAGGTAAGAAATGCGTCCACGGCAAATACTAAGGTGCGAACTTACCCATCTAGCTGTATCAAATAATGGGCAAGTCATACGGACTTCCTTCAACTTATTAGTCAGAGCTTGAAGTTTTGCCGGATTTAGTGCAAGGTCTACTGCCCTATCTTCATACTCTTTCATACTGATAGAACCAAAAGGGAAAAGGCAGGATTAGTATGACATAGTTAACTGCAATTTAATTAGATGGGTTTTAATCTACACTTGCCTGCTGACAATCATCTCTTCCCCTAGCCCGGTGGCTAGGCAGAGGGAACCAGCTACTCTGGTTGCCATTTTCTCCAGTGGAAGGGTTATCATTGGTAAACCAGCCCACAATATGTCTGTCCCAGTTGTGTGCGCATTGCAGAGAGGGCTGACTCAAAATAAATCACACAAGAGAATAAACTAAGAACATCGAATATTTTGCTTGTGCACTGAAAGAAAAATGAAATTATTGCTGGTAGAAAATGCATACGTGTCCAGGAAAAGGTCTGCCAATGAGCTGCGTCTAATATGCTCATTTTTCATAGCAACATCAGTGAAGATGATCTGGTCGGGTCTGACTCCTCTCGCAGCAGCATCTGCAAAGTCATTTTTTCATAGCATTCAGCATTATAAAGCGGAACTCTACCCTTTTCTTTTTTTTCAGGTGGAATTAACACTTGAAAAGTGAAAATTACTTACGTGCTCTTACTCTAGTTTCACCTGCTGCTGGGAACCTTAAAAGCCATAATGCACTGTTCGGAACACGTTTGAGAATATTGCACCTTCATAATTACAAATAAGGGATAAAGATTAGTCAGATGACCCATAGGCCCATAACAAATTCTGGTCCATCAGAGCTTCTACAAGAATCATATACAGAGCAGAAAAAGGAAAGGAAGATGTAAACAGTGCCATTACCATGTATCAAATATTTCTGGATCCATCTTATAAAGCTGATTAAAGCATGCAAAGATGAACTTATCCTCGGGTAACCCATAATCTGATCTTTTATGTGGGCATACAGGATCAAGACAATCACGATTTTTCTGGCAGACAGATTTTAAGTGTCAAAATCAAAGATGATATGAATGAGAAGGGCAAAAGAAAAGATAGCATGGCGCACGAACCTGCTTGTAGTCATTGACAAAATAACAATGAGGCAGATGGACGAGTTTCTCAGA